CAAAAAATGTATCCGCTGACTCTTTTTTGATGATTTCACCCACTTTAGACCACCCAAATTATAACCAAATACACACCCACACTCCACTCTCCAAGGCGCAGCTTCGTCTGTAATTGCAAGTTGAGTCGGTGATGAACTTTCCGCACTTGACGAATTAAGCAAGGGATTATTTTAATTGTGAATGGATGCATATGTTATGAGGGATTTGAAAGCTTATGGATGCCATGGTGGAAATTTTTTGCATGATTTTGCTCTTTTGAAATGCCTACAAAGTGTTTGTGAAAATGCCTAGCCTTCATACCTTTTGTGCATATTGTATGTGACACGCTAAAACATAACACCAAACTGCGACCAAGTGTAATCGCAGTCCGCAAATGCAGAATAGTGGCAAGTTCTTTTTATCAACCCGGGGTCTAGATCTACTGCCTACTCCGTGATGATTTATTATCTAGCAAACTAAGTTGAGTGAATGTGATTTTAGCTAAAGCAGTAAGAAAGCAGGAAATGGTTCAAATTTCTTAAGCAGGGGAAGAGTCACTCGGGAATGAGTCCTCCTAGCTCCTTAGTTAGGTAAAAATTGTAATTACCTTTGGTTGATTTACTATTGATTAAATTGCGGAAGATCCGACAATAGCTCGGAATCTCTTAAGCTGACCAAGCCCTCTCAGACAGACTAACCGGAAGGCGACTAGCCTTCACCGGGACAGACTGCTGAGGCAATAAACACAGAACTCCACTGCTGGAATTGGATTCCAGTACAAAGCAGTAAATCGATTAACTCTCGTATAACCAATTCACTACTACCGATTGATGAAGCTCTAACAACCTAATCAGATTCTATCTATCTCAGGTTGCAACAGAAATCAAGAAAAGTTGATCAGGCTTCAATTGACTCAATGAGTCATGCATCAATTGATTATAATCAAGCAGTATATCAATCCAAACGTCATTACAATCAAGATTAATAACACATAGAGCTAGGGTTCTTCATACCCAAGTGAGAGAGGGTTCTACTCCTTAGAGAGAGAGAGAGAGAGAGAGGAAAACAGAATTCAGAGCAGTCATACTCATAAATATGGGGATAATCTGCTCTGGGATGTCGATCTTCACTCCTAGGGATACAATCTGGGCTTCAATGGTGAGAAATCCACTCCAAATAGCTCATAGGGTTTGTTTTTCGCACTTTCTCTCTCTAAAACTCTATATTCTGCTCAAAAAGCCGTCTCTCTTTTCATTTGGCTCGAATCTTCCTCAAAACCCCGATTCTAGGCAAAACACGACCGAGGACACGACCGTGTTTTGCCTCATCCCGCCCGCGTCGTTCCCAAAACACGATCGTGCCCCATAAGTGACCCGGTCGTGTTTTTCTCCAGTGCCGCCCATGTTTTGGACCCTCAGAAGCCCTCACGAGCACGCTCTCGACAGTAAAATCACGTCCTAAGGACACACGGCCGTGTTTTTGGACAAGGGTCCCCGTGTTTTGTCTCCAACCACACTGAACGATCTCCAAACGACCCGAAACTTGTTCCTAGCCTTACCTTTGACGCATGGGACCTGAAATGTGACAAAATAGCACAACCCAACGTAAAATAGGCCAAAGATACTCGACTGGGGCCTCAAACGGATAAGAAATAACGGTGCAAATACATCGTTATCAAATTCCCCCACACTTAACCGTTTGCTTGTCCCCAAGCAAACCTAGTTAGACACAAGGTGCTCAAAATAATTGGGACATGTCATATCGGCACAAAACACGTGAATCACACTAGCCTTTAGTCATGAACACATGAAACCTCAACAGCAACCTAGACAACCACCACAGATGATATTTGAGTGCAGCAAAATCGACCAAAGGAAGAGTCTCCCTTCTGTTCACCAACCAACATAAACTCGACTCAACCACTTATCCAAGACAGTCGTTTCATGCATCAAACTCAAGACATCAGAATCGAGATCGAGCCATCTAGGTCCTCACCGGGGTAAAGAGTGTAAAGAATAAGGAAATGAATCACATACTCTCGACTAGTGGGATCAGGACAATTTGATGCGAAAAATGTGCATTCTTATTCTCTCAATCCCTAACGTCTCTTCACCATGACGGCAGCCTCTCAATGCTAGAGTTCACATATTGTGTGTCATCACTAACTAATCTGGAGGTCTTAGACACAGGTTCAAATGACTGGCTAGGGTCTTGGACATGGGGAAAAAGCCTTTTAGGTGGTGGAAGTATTCATAGCACAAGGTTCCACATTTCCAAACCCAACACATTCACAGCCAATCAAACACTTACTTTCTCAAATTCTTTAGAGCACAAGAGCGAAGGAGGTCACAATAATTTTAGTATTTCTAAGCCGGACTGCTAAGAAACACTACTTAATGAGCATGATTCAGATTTTTGGTAGTCGCTCTCTTTAACTTTCATTCATTTTTTTTCATTCCTTGAGAGAACAACCACCTCAACACATTTTTCAAACAGGTGCTCAACTTTTAAGAACTACCTCCAACCCTCACGTTATTTTTACCAGAAACAACAGAGAACATGCAAAAACCACTCTGTGGAACCTTCTAAGAGATGCAAAAGGGTGATTGTTCATTGTAGACCGAAAGAAAGAGAGTGACACGGCTCAAAGGGGCTGACTAGGGGGTATGCACACCAAGACAGTCAATTTGTTCGTGGGCTATTCCTATGCCTCCATCATCTTAGCTAATGACAACGTGAATGCTACACATCATGGAAGAGGGATCTATCGCACAAGAAAGGAACGAGTAGGCTCAAATCTCACATGGCTACCTATATGTTGTATCTCTCATTCTAATTCCCTCAACTAGATGCATAAACGACTGTCAATAACAAGTGATCGATCCAAGTGACAGTTGGTAAGCAAACAGTTGAAAAAAATTGAACCCTTACACAACTCTACTGCACGTCTCAGTCATCATTATAGGTTGTCCTAGTCACAATCCACTTGTCATGCATCAATTTTAATAGTCATTCGATTCACTAATTAAACCACAATGCCACTATGATCATGCATACATCAGTACTTGGAGCCCTCAAATCTTAAGATTTGGACAGCGGACTATGCCCCAAGCACACACAAATACATTCCAAAAAGACAAAGCACCCCCCCCCCCCCCACACACACACATAAATGCGATAGTGTCCTCAATGGAGCAGAGGAAAGGGGAACGATGTTACCGTGAAATAAAGATCAGGAACAGGGACTAGAAGGCAGACCAGTCAAGGGCAGGGGGTGGAACAGGACCAGTCCAAGGGCACAGAGCTAGAGTCAGGCAAACACACACACTGGTTGAAAGAACCATATATCCATGTCTACAATCCGTATGAAAAAGAGAACCAGGACCAACACGACAGGGAGTCTCAATCTGGAAAAGAAATGAAGTACATAACCCTCAAATCTCCACTAAATCACATCGTCTCCATCGCCTGTGGGAGGTGGGTAGTCATTCTCGTACCCTGGTGACTGCACTAAGGGGTAGTGGACCGAGTTCTGGTCCAGGCCCAAATAGTGCATGATGTAGTGCTGGGCGACCATAAGATGACGTCTGCGGTCCCGCTTACGATCAAGGCGGGCGTGGATGTGCTCCTGGCCTGCTAGGATTTGCTCGTTCTGACGAGCAATGGCCGCCAACTGGTCAACAACGGTGACCGCGGGGGCTACAGAATAACCTAGGGTAGCATCAGAAGGATCCGTGGGGGTTTGGGTACGGCGTAATGGCCTAGCATCAGAGGAAAACAGAAATCACAGCAGTCATACTCTTAAAGATGGGGATAATCTGCTCTGGGATGTCAATCTTCACTCTTGGGGATGCAATCTGGGCTTCAATGGTGAGATATCCACTCCAAATAGCCCCTAGGGTTTGTTCTTCGCACTTTCTCTCTCTAAAACTCAATTTTCTGCTAAAAAGTCGTCTCTCTTTTCCTTTGGCTCGAAACTGCCTCAAAAACCCGATTCTCGGTAAAACACGGTGGAGGACACGACCGTGTTTTGCCTCATCCCGCCCGTGTTTTGCTTCATGTAAGGCAAACACGCCCGTGTTGCTCCCAAAACACGATTGTGCCCCATAAGTGACACGGTTGTGTTTTTCTCCAGTGCTGCCCGTGTTTTGGACCCTCAGTAGCCCTCACGAGCACGCTCTCGACATTATAAACACGGCCCGAGGAACACGGCCGTGTTTTTTGTTAGGGCTGCTCGTGTTTTGGCTCCAGCCTCACCGAACGACCTCCAAATGACCCAAAACTTGTGCCTAGCCTTTCCCCTTCAACGCTTGGGACCTGAAATATGACAAATTAGCACAACCCAACATAAAATAGGCCAAATATACTCGAGTGGGGCTGCAAACAGATAAGAAATAAGGGTGCAAACACGTGCACATACATCGTTATCAGTGTGGTAAGCGTTAAGGCATGATCTAGGGTTGGTTATGAATCTTAGTCTATGAAACCCCTTGTTTCATGCCTTTGATTGCTTTTGGTTTGATTGTGCTTAAAATATAAAAATGCAGGCTTGTTTGAACCATATGCCACCATGATACCGTGCTTAGAATTTAAGTGTGGGGATGTAGTGTTACCCCCCAAATTGCACTTTTTGATAGGTCTAATATGAATGTTATATGGTTTGGTATATGTGTGTAGGTTATGGCTCACCCGGACCACCCTTACCTCCATCCATCGGTGGATCATGTCTAGTATGGATGTAACTTCGCCATGTTGGAAGAAGGGTCCAATTGGCCCCTACTGGCTCCTGGACCTTGACTAGTTTGCCGCCTTCCACTATAGATATGTGATCTCTGCTGCAGTGGCTCACCCCTAGTGGCGGCGGTGGCTCCTTAACGTTGATGAGGGCATCTTCCTAGAGTTGTGCGTGAAATTCTACTCCACGTACCAGCACGTTCAGTCTCATATCCACCTTCAAGATCATTTTTTCTCATTCCGAGTTGGGGAGATTCGAGAACACCATGGGCTACAATGTTCTAGCTCACACATTAGGGTCGACATGGGAAACATGCACAATAAGAATTCTGATGATACTAGGATTGTGAATCTTCATTGGGCTTTTGAGAGAATATGCTTGGAGCAAAATCACACTGAGCATCTCAAGTCCAGGAACACGAGGCCTCGACTCTTTTGACCCTACTAGAAGATCCTGCACATGCTCCTGATGAACTCCATCCTCCCGAATGCTAGATCTCTGAGGCAGGTTACCCAAAGTGGGAAGGTTGTCCACTACACCATGTGTAGACCCTGTGAGACCCTTCATCTAGGGTTTGCGGCAGAGACTATATTCTCCCTTGTCGTGGGGAGCAAGAGGGTCTACACCATGCACATGGGTCGTCACATCACTAGGATTGTCCACTACCTTGAGGTCGACCTCCCCATATGCACATAGGCTTGTGCCGCCGAGCTCTTCCCTAATGGTAAACTTGTCCACATGGGGCTCATCCAGGTTCAGAGGGGTATCTGGTTCGTTGTCTGATGATGTAGAAACCACAAGTGTTAATCCTATATGTTCCTAGGACCGTATACCACAATTTCTTTTAATGGTAGCTACTCAAAACTAATGTTCAAATGATAAAAAAAAGTAAAATCGATGGGTTGAGGTTCCCTGTATGACTCGAGTAGATCACTTAAGAAACATAAAACACACAAAAGTAAAGAGAAAGTTAAATCAAATGAGGAAAAAGTTGTTCAGGAAGTATCATGTCTATGAGCATGCATACTTTCTCCTTAACAAGATCCATATATGCATCAATGCTACGTTGATATTCTATCCCTTCCATTAACGACATTCCCTACATGTTGTCTTTCATGAAAAAGATACGAGACGACAACTCGGAAGTATCGGGGACGACCTAGATTTTTGTCGTCCTCAAAAGAATAGAGGACAAGCGTATAAGGGACGAACCATTAGGGACGACTTAGTCCTCCCCAATATCTATAGGGACGATTTTGCCAATTTCCACTTATATCGCCTCAAAGACTCTAGAGCTTTCGGCCCATGGAAGTCGTCCAACACTCAATGGTTCTGCTCCGGGGAAGTCCATACTACAAAGCCTAAGTGACCTCCAAATCTAAGGATCACTTCATGAATCACTGGTCCGCCTGAACACATCTGAGACTCCGATGTAAGTAACCACGACATATCATGATGATGATGATGAAATAATAATAGTTATTATTATTGTTGTTGCTAATCCACGGTTGTTACCCTTCGTACATAACCGTCAATCCAACTGTTCACGTATTTTGGTCGAACCTGAACCCAAAGGTCGGGGTGTTACATTTCCTCCACCCTTATAAAACATTTTGTCTTCGAAATTTGAACAAGGACATGAACTGATAAAAAGGAACGAATATACTCGAAATTTGTCCCACCGCTTGTACTTAGACATAATGTCGCTCTCTAAATAAAAACTGCCCTGACTGGGATGTAACATTACCCTCCCCCTTAAGAAAAATTTCACCCTCGAAATTTGGTCATCGTGATGACTCAAAGTCTCACCTGAGGCAATCCTTCTACTACAAGGATTAATACTTCCTTTACTTTCACCACCCCTTTATCGATGCTTGTCTCTATCTTTGATACCCGAATTTAGTTCAGTAGCTCCTTGCATTCCTCCTCGAAGGTTCTACTTGCTTTCTCTGACATTTGTAAGAAATTCCCTTAAATGTTCTACTTTTTATCGTTTTTCGCCTAGCTTGATGAATTTTCTTGGACAAGTTTCGAGATTCTAACTCTTAACGTACTCCGGTCCGGTGATGCTCCTCGTATCCCTTGGATTTTTGACCTTTGATGGCTACCGTAAATTGTAGGGTCTCTCGACTACCTCCTCATTCTTTACATCATTCATCCCGATGGTGGTCTCCTTCTTTTCCAAGTCTTTTCGTCGAGCCGGTTCACCAGGTCCACGCCCTCTTAGCCCTGACGCAATGATACCTTGAGAACATGTCGGCTCCTTAAGACCTACCTAATTTCTTATTTAGCCTTGCTTATAAGCCACTAGTCCTTGGGGTCATAGCCCTACGCTCGATTCTCGCGAACTCACCGAACCTTCCTTGAATCCTTTCCTCTAGATAATGGCCTCCATTTTCCGCAACTCCTTGGCTACCGCTTGTTGACGTACTAAATACTTGGCTCCTTCCTGAACCTCACCCTGATCAACTTGCATCCCCGTAGGATATGAGCCGCTTGACCCTCCACTTCTCACTCATGAATGGGTTTTCACGAAACGATCCCTCTAGGAACCTGCTCCTTCTCCTTCTCGAGACGTATCATAGTCACGCGGGCATAATGGTGTTATTTTCCAAATCATGATTAGAGTATACTAGAGATTCTAAAAATTCCCGAAAGACGCTGACTCGTTTGGCCAAACTTTGACTTGAAATCTTTAAAAACAAAACCTTTAAAACTGAGACCGGTATTCCTGTATTTCTTGGAAACCAAGAAACAGAGGAAGACCGGCTCTGATACCAAAATGTAACCGCTCTTTTTCGAAAACCAAACCATAACTCAAACCAAAAACTGGTTACTTCGGAGAAACCCAAACAACTTTTTAAAATAAATAAACCGACAATGTTTAAGAATTTCAAACAAAAAGCCTGAACACTTGGGCAAATGACAATATTAATACTTAAAATGAATGAACTCAGAATCTCCAGTTTACACTCCAAACCATGTAACAAAGAAATTAAACTATTCTAGCTCTGACTCTTCACGGGTTCCTTGACTTCTCATCAATGCTGGTGCAGCTACTTGCCTCACCTTGCCTCTTCTCGAAATCCGCCTCTGCTAACCCTTCCTCGAACTAGTGAGTGAGAAGGGGTCGGTCTCGTCGTTACTTCCTAAGGTCTTGGCCCTAAGAAACTCCTTACTAAACACGTTATCAGGGTTCTGGACTTAGACAAAAGTCGTTCTCGTCCTTTATACTTTGTTATCAAACAGTCTATAAGAAATCTCTATTTCGATCTTATCTTTAGGCTTTCCTTACTTATATTTTTAATCCATAGATACCAACCCTGGGGACCACCGAGCTACGTCTCGAGGTCCGGTGTCCCTACCCTAGTATGCCGACAGCGTTACGTCTCACCTTTCGGTTGCATACCAAAGCTCGGCAATGACACTGCATTACGTCTCGCCATCCAGTCCATGCCCGATCAACTACTACATTACGTCTCGTCGTCCAGTAGTGACCCTAACATACTCGATCAACTGCTACGTTACGTCTCGCCGTCTAGCAGTGACCCGACCATCTACTGCGTCAAGTAGTGGCCCCACTGCCCGGGGGTTCATCTTATCATTAACCAATTATCACAACCATACTTCCATACATTCATACATAGCACAACGCGTACCTCCACCCTTAACTAGGCAATGGGATGCCTCACACACAGTGGCGTAGCCAGGATTTCATCAAAGGTGGGTCCACTTAGAAGAAAAATACACCTGGTAAAATAATTTTTGTTAGCTTTGCGAATCATTCATGACATAATCTTATATTGGAAAATTTGGTTAATTAAAATAGATTAACCGTCGAAAGTATCAATAATATTACAATATATACCACACAATTATTAATGATTTAGTTATTCGTTCTGTTTCGTATGATGTTCTTTATAAAAAACCATTAGTATCTATAACTCGAGTAATCAAGAGATATTTAATAATAAATCTTACACCAAACAATAATTCATGATTTAGTTAGTCATTCGCTTACAAATGGTGTTACAAATGGTGTATATTATCAAAGTAACGCAGCAAACGACTCAATCGAAGAATCGATTGAGCTCGAATCAAGAACGAAGCGCTCTTAATATGAAATTGGGATAAAACGGAACCAACGGACAATTCCACACCTGGGGAAAGCTCGTATGGTATAAAAGGATAGCTGCTTGACCACGATTGAAGAGGATATTCAATCGATACAAAGCTCAAAAGCTTGGAATCCACCAAACTCAAACAAGTCGCAACTTGCACAAAACCAAAGGGTTTGTTTTTCAATTAATCAAAAGTCTTCATTTTTACAACGTAAATAAAAGAGTATTTATAGACAAATAAACCTAATACAATCCTACATGAACAAGGAAACTAATTAGAACAGAAAAAGGCTAAATAATTCGTGTAAAACAAGGTAACTTGCAAGCCAAGAAACTGACTTAAAACACAAGTAAGTCTGCCTAGGAAAACAGGCTTCATAGCATCTTTGAGCCCTTCGAAAATGGTCTTCTAGGTTGAGTCAAATTAAACCAATTCCTTTCCTTTGTAGAATAAAACTTCTTGTTTCATCTCCAACTTGAATCAGCCTGAGATCATGTTCCAAACTCCAGATATAGGCTTTCAAAGTTGGTATCTCAAAACAGTTTTCTGCCTTAGCCAAATTTAGACAGTTTTCCTGTTTTAAGGTAGCCTTTTGATGAGCTTTGAAAGTGACCTTCCAGACATCTCCTTGAGCTTCAAAACATACCAATGTAATCATAATAACATTATCTTCAAAAAAAGCTCTTGTTCTCCCATTTTTATTGAGCCATTTGTGAGATACAAGCTTCCAAAGTAGGCTACCTGAAACTGTTTCAACTGGGATCAAATCAGGCTCCCCCTCTTCAAAAAGCTTTGACCTCAAAGCTTGAAGCTGATTCTTGTCAAAAACGTCACAAAAGTCCTCCCAAATCGAGTCACGAAATAGGTACCTTGAACTTGCAATGTCGAACTTCAACACTTCGTTAACTCGCGAATTGGTGGCTGTTTTCCACGATTTAAGTTCCATGACGCTCGTGGGACTCCAATGGATCTTTCCCACACAAAAAATTTGATTAACGAACCCAGAATACGTTGCTGCAATTCTCTAGTGTCCGGCGGCCTTCGCAACTCCGGCGAGCTCCTCCAAATTGGGGATTTCTGATTCCTGCACCTAGAGCTCAATTCGCCGTCATCATTGCCTTCATAGGGCCTCGAATTGAGTTTTTGGAAGGTCTGCTTGCCTCGAATCATCACCATCGTCGTCGAATCGAGGATTTCCCCTTTCTCGCCGTCCGGAAATTCGAATTTCCCAGATTCCGACGAGCTATACCCAGAATACGGCGAACAATTTCCAGAAACCGGCGACCCCAAAATTAAATTGGGGTTTTTTTGATTCCAGATTCTACAAGCTCAATTCCTTGGTTCTATAGAATCCTTGTGACCTCAGGAACGTGTCTACAGTCTCCAACCAATTCACCCTTCTCTTGCTCGCTGTTCTTCGCGTTTTGTGACGAAATTTTTGAATT